AATAATTTGTAAATATCTGATATATATACAATAAAGACAAGCCATGCTGACCTGACTGTGGGTTAAAAAAAAAAAAAGGGTATGATAAGCTAAAATTATATTAATGTTTATTGATCTCTTTTTTGATAAAAAGAAACTAATATTCCAATTGAGCATATTTATATTATTGAAAAGAAAAATAAAATAAAAATAAAAATGAAAGAAGTAGTTCTGTATTGTATTAAAAAGATAATTGTCATGTTTCTTAATGAATGAATATTTTATTTTCTAAATTTTCTTTTTAATTGTAATTTAGATAAGTTTCTACTAAGTTTTTATATATATAAGATAGAAAAAAGAAAAAAACTTTACAGTTTTAAGACTTGTGTGAAGAAAATAATTAGGAAGGCCTAGGTGATATATTAGTGTCTGTATGAATGACTTGAAAGTCTTCTATTATATTATTAATTAAATCCATTTCTATCCAAATATGAGTATACTTATCTATTTATAAAATATATTTCAGATTTAATTCCTTATAGAAAGACTGCACCTAGCTTTATAATTGATATACCCTGTTAATAGTTATTAGTGTTAGTAATCAATAAGGATTTCTTAGATTATCTAATTATCTTACACATCATTGCTGATATTTTAGGACTTGAGTTTGATTGATATTGTAGTGTTAACCTTTTAGTCTTTCAGCTTGAGATTTTTTGAAGATAAGATAAAAATTTCCTGGTTTATTATACATATTAGCTTTATCACTGAGTATTACTAATTATTTTTTACTTTCTCCAATTGAATTTTTTTGAGTACTAGAAGTAGGAACCTATCTGATATACAATTAGAAGTAGTTTTCTTTGATTTTCAAAAGATTAATTGAGCTCTTATAATCTTTACCATAGTTGAATAAATTCTTTTTTGTATTTAAAGATGTATCAGTAGTATATTTTGTATCCATCTACATTACAGATATATGATTTATGATGGATCCTAAGTTCTTATGAGATTGAGAAAATATATTCAAACATGTGGAATAATCAATAGGAGTTTGTTTATATTCTTTTATCGATATGATTCTACTGGACTAATTAGTTTACAAGAAACTTTGTGCTACTTAAAATTTGGAATCAAAATGAGGTAGGTAAAATTTCTTAGAGAAAACTGAGAAAGAGTACTATTAAAGTCTATACAATGCAATGGAGACAAGAGTGGAAAATTAGTTCTCTTATCACAAGATAATTCTATAGTATTTCTCTTTATACTAGGTAGATAGCAAAGTATCAGTTCTTTTTTTTTTTCAGAACTTTTTTGTCATTAATAGAAAAGGTGTTTTCCAGACTTTTGGTTACATAAGTTTGGTTTTTGTTAGAAGAAAAATATAAACAGTAAAGAAAAAGAATATGAATGGTTCTTGAAGTATTCTTCAAGTTGATTTAAGGAGAATAATAAGATTTTATTAGTTAAGAATTATAATAACTTCTTGTGAACATTTTTTTTTTGTATGTGATCAGAGGATCAGTGGAAAGAGTATAAATTTTAATTTGATTTTTTTTTTAAAAAAAAAAAAAAGTTATAAAAAATGTATAAATAATAAATTTATATAATTTCATTATTTTAAATTATCTTTAAAATTTTTTTATTAAAAATATAGTATAATTATTATTTTTGATATAACTTTAAAAGTATTTTTAATAATCAATATTATTTTTTTCACTTATAAACTTTTTTAATTACAATTTTAAAAATTTTAAGAGAAGAATATTTTATAAAATATTTAATAAATTTTTATAGTAAAAAAATGTTTTTTTCTCTTTATCAATTATTTTTACTCTTTTAAAGTTTTTATTTTTTTTTAGTTTTTTTTTGAACAATTTTATTTATTTTATTTTAATTTCGAATTTTTAAGAACTATATTTTTTAAAAATAATTGATCAATATAAAACTTAATAATTTTTAAAATATGAACAGTTCTTAATAATAACAATTACATGTTTAAAGTCATTATTAATGATAAAAAAGAATAGGCATAAAATATTTTTTTACAAATTAAGTTTCAAGAAAATCAATTATAATAAAAAACAAGTAATAAATAATAAATTATATCGATTTTTATTTTATATTAAGTTTTTTAGATAATGAAAAAACTTTTTTAAAAAGAAAACCAAGAATTTCTTTTTTTAATTCTAATCAAGCAAGTTTTTAAAAAGATTTTTTTATCTCAATCAAATAAACTTTTTTATAATATAACCTTAACTTTGAAAATATAATAAATAAATCATAGATTAATAAAAAAAATAAGTTACTTATTTTTAGGAAGTTTATATAAGAGAGAATAAGTTCCTCAAATAATTAAAAGCAAGAAAAATATTTCAATTAAATAAATTTCTTTTGAAAGGAGCTTATTAATTTGTATAAAAACTTTCAGAGATATTTTAAATTGATTTTGATTTTTTTCCATTTTCTAGTAAATTAACTTAAAAATTATTTTTTGAAATAATCTACAGTTATAAACTGTTGACAATAATTTTAGCAGAACGAGATTGTTATTAAAAAAAAATTATTCTTTAATAAAAATATTTTTAATAAATTCATATTCTAAAAATTTAATTGTATCTTTTTAAACAAAGTTAAAATTATATGTTTATTATTATTATTATTTCAAATCGAGGTATTATAATAGAAAAAATCTTTTTAACCTAAATTAATTATATATAATATAAAAGATTTTTTTTTTTTCGATAAATATGGTTGTATTTTTGCAACACTACTAATTTAAAAATTATACAAATTTATTTGTTATCATTTTTTAAAATCATTGTATCGTTCAGTTATTATGGACAGTATAAAAGCAAAGCCTTTACAATGGCGTTCATCATTCAGATGCTTCTGCATTATAAAATTCATAGTGCAAGACTAAAAAAGCTTTGTCGCGTTTTTTTGGAGTACAATTTGCAATACTCGTGAATAAACATTTTGGTTACATATAATACAGCAAAGTTTTATTAAATGAGGTGTTATGAAAAACTGTAGATAAAAGTCACGAATTTTCTTTAAAAGAAAAAAAAAAAACAAATAAATACGTGAATGTATATATGATGCCTACAGTATATTTTCAATTTATTGCGAGGTGGCTTTAAAACCTAGGGACATTATTTAAATTGGAATACTCCGACCAAAGTGGTAATACCACTACCAAGTATACCCCACAAAGCAATCAGAGTGAAGTCATAGGAAGTTATTTTTATGCCGGTATTGCTTCTGTGGAAACCTCGTGACTTACGAACGTAAAAGGCATACAATGGGTACGCGATATAGTACGAAGAGTGATATATGATTATCCTAAAACATTGTCAAAGGGAAAAACTGAGACAGTTGATAAAAGAAATAAAAAAAGATAGAGAATGCGTGCGTGTGTGTACTTACGCTATAGTAGAATTATTATCGATTACATTGGTCATATTTCCGATGAGATGTATTACGGAGGCAAGTAACAGGTATATGGCTGCACGCGGACGAGGTTCAGGACCCCCCAACAACGGAGAGCCTTCACCAACAGGGGCTTCCTGTTCTTCCTTTTCTTGTCTCATAAGAATGAAGTAGTAGATAGGAAGAGTGAAGTCAAATATCATACCTGTTAATAGGTAATAAAAATTTTAATAATCAGATCAACGAAAAGCAAAATAATGCAAATGAGCGAATTTACCCTGAAACTTGAAAAAGAAATCATCCCAATACCACTCCAACTGACTAACGGTTGTAGAAACGAACACTGCATATACTAAAATGACTATAAAGCTGCGAACGTAACTGACACCCGATTTATGCATTAACGCTGCCACGATGAAAAATTCCATAATATTATGATAAGCTCCGAAGTACAACCATAATTTTCCCACAGAAAAGACAGCTCCTGCGAGCATAGCAATATATGTGATAAATATATAAACAGTGACCACGGTTTCGAACGGATCTTTTGCCCAGACATTGTGTTCAATAGGTGGTTCACTATCTGACTGTCTTCTTGGTCTGATATAGAGAAATCCCAAAGTTAAGGAAATCGAGATGAGAGCTTCAATAAGCTCGTATGAAGGATGCGAATCGATGGGCTCCCATTGCCATATTGGTAAATGTGTCAGGTTTGAATGTAATTGTTTGGGCGGTGGTGGAAATGGGCGTAAGATGTTAAAAATCACAACTGCTGCGACTATTTCAATTAAAATTACGACTGGTCCCACGAGCCTTGCAATTCTTCCCAGATCAAGTGTCATCGTAAAGAATTTTGATTTTTTGGAGGGAAAGTTCTGAAAAGTACATTTTATAGATAAACCATTTCAATTTAAAGTTGGATAACAATTGGGCGTTTTATCAAGTGTTTTAAGACAAAATAAGGGCTGGTTTGGTGTTCAAAATAATTTTAAAAAGTGCAAAAAATCGTCACAATTAAAAAACGAAAAGAAATTTTAGTAAATAACAATAGGAATTTGTTGTACTACTGTATTTAGCCCTCGAGCCGCAGTTTATTAAGCACAAAACGTGCCATTAATTTAAGCATACTGAAGATCAGTTGGGTCACGCCTTCACTTATAAGGAAAATATAATAGGGTTATTTAATCGCTTACACAGCAGACATTAATAATCAATATAACTATAATTTATGAATTATCGAATTTTTATAAACAAAAAGTCCTTGATCAGTACTTGCGTCCTTTGCATTTAATATTCCCATGATTGGTCATATTTGTCACAGTAAAAGAACCATCGAGTACAATATAGCGTTAATCGAGCCGCACCTGAGACGACTCGATTCAAATTTTCGATTATCTCTTTGTCAGGCGATTAGATTTGGGCAAACTTTTTTTAAAAGAAAAAGAAGCTTTAATAAAGCCCTGCAAAGTTTATTAAATCTTATCCTATATGGCGAGATAATCGCAATCTGATTTGTCATGCTGCAGTCTAGAATAAAAAAAATTCCCAAGGCAAACATTTAATTTTTTTTCATTATTTGTATATTCATTTTAAATTGTATACAGTAAATAAATAAATAAATAATTTGTTTAGTATATTTATATGTACAATATATAATTATTGAATTTTTAAAAATTATGTTTAAAATATTTTAAATGTGCATTAAAATCTTTTCTTTAATTACAAATAAGCATTAAATGTAAAATTTTATTAAAACTTTAAAATTTATAATAATTCAAAAAATTTTTTTGATATATTGTTACTTACTTATACAAAATTTATCAAATTAATAATCTAAATAAATTAGTAATTAATAATAATTATATAATTTAAAGTAACCATAACATAATTATATCATATTTATTTATTTTTATTTTTTAAAACTGATTTATTCTATATCACTCTCAGTAACCTTATTAAAAGAAGATCATATTTAATGCCAATTGAAATAAATATTTTTTTATACTATCTAAGGATTTACAGATTATTAAAAAGGAAAAAATATAGAGTGTTATTTATTTATATAACTTAATCTAAGTCTAATCTGATTGGGATAAAAAAATATATATAATTACCTGTATAAATAGCCTCTTCTAAAAATGAAAAAAAATATTAATTAGATAATACTTAAATATATATTGCTGGTTTCTTTCTGTTATTAAATTGAATATTATCTAGAATTTTTATCTATTGATTAGTTTGTCACTACTTATAAGAGAAACTTAACATATCAGAAATTGTTTAAGATATTCAGTACCAACTGATACTAAGAATCTATTATACTAGTCAAAAATTAATCAATATTAAAAAAATATTTAAAAAAAGAAGATAATAAAAATATGAAGAGAAAAATTAAAAATATTTACAAGAACTAAAAACAATAAAAGAAAAAAGAAGCTCTAACAATGTCTTTGCTATCAAATATTGTTTCTATATTAACTCTTACTTAATCTTAACTTTTAATAAATTTGATAAAAAATAGAAAAATATAATTCATATATTTTTATCTGTTATATATATCTTTGTTTACTTTTTTGCTAATCAAAAATCAACCAATCTAAATTTTCAGTCAATTAATTTATTCAGAATCTAATATTATCAAATTTTCAGGATAAATTTAAAATAGTTTCAATCTATTCAATTACCTTCAAATTAGATAGATAAATAGAATAACTATAACAATAATTTACTTTAAGTTAAGAGAAAATACTTTAATTATGGTATACTAAAATAGATAATTCAAGGATAGTAGAGATTATACAAACATATTGAAAGAGGCTTTAAGTGATTTGATTTAATTAAAAAAAATTTTTTTTTTTTTTTAAACCGCAACTGGTATTAGATACAAGTTTTATTAAAGAATTAATTTAATTTGCCAAATAATTAAATCCTACAGCAGTTATATTAATTATCTCATACAAATCATATATTTCTATATCCATACAGATTAATAATAATCTATTACAATTTGTCCTAGATAGACCTGCAATCACTCTGTAAATGGACAGACATAGCTAGGAGCCAGATGGTTGATACACAGTCATCAACGACTAGTCTAGGCCAGTTAGTATTGAGTTTATAAATTTTTATTATTTCACTAAGCTAGTCTATAGTTGTATATACCTGACAAGATATATAACATTCTCCAATATTTTCAGATATATTATTCACTCAGACCTCGAAAGAGTGCACTTTCCTTCTTTGTTACCACCTGTGGTATCGGATCAGTCCCTATTGATTGATTTTCAATTAAGCAGAGCATTAGATTGGAATATTCTAAGCTAGAAGAGTGGGGTCCTGGAGGCTATCAGGTTAGAGTGGGCTTGGGACGTTTTGTGGAAGACTAGACTAGAAGCCTTTCTTCATGCAATTCTTTCAGTATTACAACCATAGATCTCAGTCTCTGATTGATGTAAGGTCAAAAGTCTCATATTTATGCAGCCTAACATGATTAAAACTTGTTCTGGATAATTGAATATGACTTTCACAGAATAACTGGTAAAACCTAATCAGAAGAATAATTTTAGATATTTTGGTTCTTAAATGGTATTGAACTACAGATCTTGTAATTGCAACCTGAAAGCATTACCATTGTGCTATTGACCTATAGGTCTAATTTAATTAAAAAATTATTAGAGATATATAATATTAAAGATAAAAGAATTCAAAAGGTAAAATTTTGAATCAACTATTTTAAATTGCTGATCTTTATATATATTATTTAATATTAATTATTTAATAACCAAGATGATTAAAATAATCAAATCTGTCAAATTTATCAAATCAAATTAATATATCAGATCTGCTTATTTGAATAAACTGCTAACTAAATATAGTTAAGATATTTTTTTTAAAACTACTAACTCAGCCTTACTTTATTTGGATTAAATAGAATATATGTGTATTTATACTAGTACTACTTATATTAACCAAGTAAAGTTTGATAAAAAAGAAAATTTCACTTAACTGCTTATCATCACTCTTATCAGGAAGTTAACCAATCAAGGCTAGGCTAGTGCTATACAAAATTTTGAAGATATTTAATAAATGTATAATATTTTTTATATATTTACTTATATAGTTATTAATCAGGTCAACAAATTGGTCAATTATATATCTTTCTGTTTTATTAAGCCAGTTACTTTTTATTAAAATACTGTATCTAATGACTCACTTGATCTTTCTTGTGATTTCTTATGTCTTCTTTCACTTGTAAAAGTCTTTATATCTTGTTTTTTAGATATTTAAAAGATATTTGTTAATGTTTTGTTTGATTTCTTTTATATATTGTTTACTGGAGTAAAGGTCTGATATATATTTGGTGGCTATGTTGACTATTCCTTTTAAGATAGCTCCTTTGATCAGACATTTCAAATATTCTAGAAATCATAATGAATTATTTTTTGATATTCTTATAAGTGTCTTTATATATCTGGTGTTTTGCTAAGTTATTGTATCTTTTGAACTACAATATGTTAAATCTACTCTTCTGTTTTTTTACATTAATCTTTGTAAAGAAAGGAATGTATGTTTATTTCTCTATTGTTACATTTAATGTATCTATTATTTTTATATAGAGTGGGAAAATGATTGAAGAGGTTTATTTTGGTAGGTAATTCTTTATTCCAAAGGCCGAGGTTGAACTTCCTCTGTTATCATTCTTCCCATTCTATTGCAGAATTGTTTATCCAGATTGGTTGGAAGTTTTCTATTGTTGTCGGTCAGTGAATGTGTCTGATTATTATATTATTGAATTCATTTCTTTTTATATTTAGGAGTTTTCATTTTGCTAGATATGTAGCTTTGGTAACTCCTTCACTATACTTTTGATGAGAATCTTAATTTCTGTGTTAGTTCCATTGTGGAATTAGTATGTATTGCTGATTTTGGATGGAAGAGATGTGTATTGTTCTATATTTAGGGATCATACTATTGTTGATATTTATAGTAGCAAGCTGATTTGCTTGTTCATTATATTTGTCTCTAATGTAAAATATAGTTAAGATATAATAATATAACAAAGAAATTAAATAGTGTGTATTATGTAAATCATCAATAATTGAATCTACTTTATAAATCAATAAGACATATCTTGTACTGCATATATCATATAATCTAAAAATAGAACTAGAGTAATATTATAAACAAGAACTATAGATAATAATTAAAAAAAAATATTATTATTAAAATTAAAAATTTTCTTACTTAAGTTTGAGTTTCATGAATTAATAATTTACAAGAAGTTGATATTTACAGAACTTCAACTTGATAATTATGATCAAGTTATATAAATTGTTCTCAAATTTGCTCAATTCTAGATCTTTCAAAAAAACTATAAGTGTGATGGTATTCAGTAAGATAATATTTAGTTAGTATTTGTTTAGATAAAATAATTGTGATTGATTAACAATTCCTTTCAATAATTTTTTTAGATAATATATATGGATCAAAGAGA